AAATAGTGTTTGTTTAAAGTTTCTGGAGCTATTTAAATTATAATTTATGTTTGGCTTTTTATGCAGCTTTTTCTTTGCTTCTATTTTTTTCCTTTTCATGATTTTTTTGGGGTTGGATGTTAGAAAAGCTATTTTAGTGAAGCTGTAAATTGGTGAATTATTTTGTATACGCAGAAATGTCACACTGAAATATTTTTTGAATATCCCAGTACTTTTTGAAAGTATACAAAAATAAAACAGAGATAGCAAAGGACTGAGTTCCTGCCCTTCAGTTCATGACTCATATGAGAACACCACCACAAAAATGGGAACAAATACGGTGGGTTTTCCTGAGCCAAGAAGAACCACAATTTCTCAGCAACTTAGTTAAGCAGTTTAATTTCTTTATTGTGCTGTGAGGAGTGGGTTTGGATAATATATATGTGCTAAAAAGTCAGATTTGCTAAGAAAGTTTCAAATATGCCAAGAGATTTCTGCATTCTCAACAGGGATGTAAGATAGGGATGTATGGGGGCACCGCCCCGACAAAGAAGAATGCCCACATCCCATAAACCTTTCCTTCGATCTACAAATCTGTAGCATTGAAGAGGGTGAGATAATGGACATTCTTCCATTTACTGTGTTTGCTACTTACTTACTTAGGCGATCCCTCGTTGTCCGAGTAGGATAGTCTTCCAAGATCAGTGTACGGGCGGTGGGTCTGTAGGTGACTATGGAGCCCTGGTCTTGATCCGTATGTTCTCCTGCAGTGAGGGCATTGGTTTCCAGGTGGAAGGCCCAGCTTACTTGTACAGTTCTGGCCCAGCTTGTCCGAACGCATCTGCCTCTATGTCCCACCTCATAACTTAAGATTATCCGGGGAGGCCCTGCTCTCGCTCCTGGCAACATCACAAACACGGCTGGCAGGGACGAGAGACAGGGCCTTCTCGGCTGTAGCCCCCCGCCTGTGTAACGTGCTTCCAAATGAAATACGATCGACCTCATCCCTCCTGGCGTTCAAGAAGCAATTAAAATCTTGATTTGGGGACCAGGCTTTTAGACAATACACATAAAGCAGCACTTTGACTGGAAATGGATTGACAAGACAACATATATGACGATACAGTTTTATTGTTCTATCAATGGGTTTGTGGACTGAGCATTGTTTTAATGACTATAATGATAATTTGGTTATAATTAATTGCTATTGTTTTAACTCTGTATGTCTTTATGGTTTTATACTGTGTTATTGATTTGTGACATCAAATTGCTGCCTTTGTTTGCCGCTTGAGCCCCCCCCCCCCCCCCCCCCCCCCCGCTCCGGGGGTTGAGAAGAGCGGGGTAAAAATGGGCCAGAACCGGTCGGGGTTGGCTTGACACACCTTCCTCTTGACACGTTTCTCTCTTTTGCCCTCCATTTGTGCCTGTGTTTGCACCCCCTTGGTAATTCTGCTTACCCCTTTCCTTTGGATGCCTAAAATGTATTTCTAAGTGCTCAACCAAAGTTTAAAGTTACTGCAATGCTAGAAATTGAGGGACTGAAGAAAGATTTCATTGTGGGACAGAATTCTTATTTGGTGGGACAATGACTTCAGTTTCTCCTCCTGCCCCCATTTACATCCAAATACTAAAATTAGAAAGGATGCTTTGAATCTCCCAAGTATTTCTCTAGGGAGAGGATCAACTGCTATAAAAACACTGTACAAGTATATGCTATGTTTACCAACCGTTTTTAAGTGTCCTAGTTGTCCTAGTTGTGTCCTAGTTGTCTCCTTATCAAAAGAGATCACTGGAGTCATAGTTTGGCGAGTATAGTTTTATAATTCTTTACTCAGTTCCCATCATTAAACTACTTAAATCAAGAAATAGTTTTCTAAGATCTACAGAGACACTCGCTGGAACGCCTCAGCAAGCAAGAGTCCAAAAGTGGCAGGCTCAAACCCCGAACCTCAATAAATGGCTGATACTAAATGAGAGACTCCCTCCTGGGCACACAGAAAACTAGACGACTTGGAAGGCGCTGAACAGACTGTGCTCTGGCACCACGAGATGCAGAGCCAACCTTAAGAAATGGGGCTACAAAGTGGAATCCACAGCATGCGAGTGTGGAGAAGAGCAAACCACTGACCACCTGCTGCAATGCAACCTGAGCCCTGCTACATGCACAATGGAGGACCTTCTTATAGTAACACCAGAGGCACTCCAAGTGACCAGCTACTGGTCAAAGGACATTTAATCAACTACCAAGCTTGCAAACTTTGTGTTTTGTTTGTTTGTTTGTTAAAAATGCAATACAACTGTTTGGTTTGTTCCTGACATGATAAATAAATTAAGCGTTACACTACTAAAGTGTTTGACAAGCACTATGTTACTCTTGAAATGTGGTTTTTACCTTCATTATATCCTCCCTATCAAAAAAGTAGCAAGTTACAGGTAACACTCTCACTCATACATATTTCCTTTCACCTACGGATAAAAGCATGGGCAAGTTGAAACACATCAGTTTGCCTTCCATCCATGATTGTGCTGCAAAATGAGGACAATTAATAAGCCAGCATTTGGTCTATATTTCACTCTTAGGACTTCATTGCCACTTTATTACAAGGCACAGTGTGATGGCCAAATGAGAACAAGCTGGTACTTGCTCTGTCCGGCTCTCCTTGATAGGATCAAGGAATAAGGCAGACTTAATTAAAAGGAAAGGCCTGATTGAAGCAGTTAAGAGAGGAATGAGAACAGCCCTTGTCTCCTCCAGTGGGGCAGATGCCAACTGGCTTTACTCACTTCCTTGTAGAAAGCCAAATAGTTGAGTGCAAGCAACTCCAAATGCAATAACAACAACTCTTGCTGTATTCAGGGTCCCAGCTGGAAACTGGTGTAAGAAACTAGTTTTGGTAGCAAAGATTTTTCTTGTGTACTGAGCAGAGCTGGGAAGAAATTAAGTAGAAGATTAATTGAGGGGAAAATCCAGGCTTTTGGCAGGCACGTAGTTCTAAAAATTGCATCTCTGATGGAAGAAACCAAAGGTGCTTGTTTCAAGAGAGCTAAACGAGTGATTCATAATATAGCTGCCTGTAAATCTAATAAGCAAACTGCTTTGATGGGCAACAGTGCCATGCTTTGTTGCAGATATTTTGAAATGTTAATTTCAAAATGTAAATTTTCTTACCATGGTTGCCTACATTCGCAATTGAGAACAGGAGTTTGCAAACATTTCATGTCGCCTCACTCTGAAGACATTCAGGTACGCAAGTTAACTTAGAAAAGCAGTGAAATCTAATTCTTAAACGAAATAGGCATCGCTGTCTTAGTACAAGTGGGTTTAAATGAGCTGTGGGATAAGAAAATGTTGTTTCTGAAATAGGCACTGTATGTTGGAGGAATGCATAGGCTATTTCACTTATTCTTTGAACTGAAAACATCTCAGCATATTATATAGAATATGGGCAAAAAGTGTGCAGTGCTAGAGATGTTGCAATGTATCTCCAACCAGACATCACTACCACTCGTTCTATACTGACTTACTTACTTTTCTTACTTAGGTGATCCCTCGTTGTCCGAGTAAGATTGTCTTCCAAGTACTGGCGGTGGGTACATAGTGACTGTGGAGCCCTATTCTTGACCCGCATGTTCTTCTGCAGTGAGGGCATTGGTTTCCAGGTGGAAGACGGTCAGGGTTGGCTTGACGCACCTTCCTCTTGGCACCTTTCTCTCTTTTGCCCTCCATTCGTGCCTCTTCAAATTTTACAGCACTGCTGGTCACAGCTGACCTCCAGCTAGAGCACTCAAGGGCTAGGGCTTCCCAGTTCTGTGTCAATGCCACCATTTTTAAGGCTGGCTTTGAGTCCATCTTTAAATCTCTTTTCCTATCCTCGAACATTCCATTTCCTGTTCTTGAATTTGGAGTAGAGTAACTGCTTTGGGAGACGGTGGTCGGGCATCCAGACGTGGCCGGTCCAGTGGAGTTGATGGCGGAGAACCATCACTTCAGTGCTGGTGGTCTTTGCTTCTTCCAGCACGCTGACATTCGTCCGCCTATCTTCCCAAAATATTTGCAGGATTTTTTGGAGGCAACACTGATGGAATCGTTCCAGGAGTTGCATGTGATGTCTGTAGATAGTCCACGTTTCGCAGGCATATAGCAGGGTTGGGAGGACAATAGCTTTATAAGCAAGCATCTTGGTATCCCTATGGGTGTCCCGGTCCTTAAACCCTCTGTGCTTCATTTGGAAAAAATGCTGCACTTGCAGAGCTCAGGCGGTGTTGTATTTCAGTGTCAATGTTGACTTTTGTGGAGAGGTGGCTGCCAAGGTAGCAGAAATGGTCCACATTTCCTAATGTTACACCATTAAGTTGTATTTCTGGCACTGGAGACGGATTGGCTGGTGACTGCTGGAAGAACACTTTGGTTTTCTCGATGTTCAATGACAGGCCGAGCTTCTCATATGCTTCTGCAAAGGTGTTTAGAGTAGCTTGTAGGTCTTCTTCTGAATGCGCACAGACAACGTTGTCATTAGCATATTGGAGTTCTATAACATGTTGTTGTAACCTTATTTTTGGCTTTATATTGACTAGGACTAATGTGAACTGCAGATCAACAACAGCTGAAGTTGATTGCTAACTTTGATATAATTGGCAAAGGTCATTGTGACTGACTGTTCCAGCCCTATCAGGAGTTGCTGATCAAGTGTGAAGTAACTCTAACAATTTAGTCACCATAAAAAACAAACCGATATCCTGACAGGGACATTTGAGAACCGGTTTAACTGTGTTACTTTTTGCTGTCCAGAGTTAAGCTTCTAATGAGAACTGTAACCCACCAGTTGGGAGTAATTAGTGACCACACCTCCTATTCAAATGCTTTCACATCTCCTGTAAGTGTGTTCATGCATTCATGGACAATCTGTCAAAAAATAAATCAGTGCCACAGGATTACATACATCTTAGTTGACATGATAAGGACAAGCTGGCTTACAACATGATGTGGCCATCCCTCACTTCCATAAAACACACTTTAAACATTGTTTTTATTTACAAAGCTTTAATAGAGCAGAGAGGCACATGAAGAGGCATTTTCCAATACACAGGAAGAAGGGTGGGGTGGGTAGGAAGTCAAAGGGCTTAGAAAGAGAAAAAGAGCAACCTGGACTGTACAGATTGATTGGATCCTGATTTTCAGCTTTCAAGGAAAGGAATATAACATCTGGGGGATACAAGAGAGAAACGGAGCACACAGAGCTCTCTTTCAACTTATCCGTCTGACTGTGACTCAAGTTACCAGTTACTGGGACCCTGTGCTTTCTCAAAATGCATCTCCCCCAATTCTAATGCCTCCAGGCCAGAAATGGCTCCATATGAAGCTTTTATTGTGCAATTTCCTTGCCTCGTTCAGAGTTTTACCAAAGGTTGAGACAATGACCTCTGCTGTTAATGCCCTTCTGTGTTTTCCCACCACTTCTGTCATATTTCATACACCATAACATCCAAAAGACATCTTTTGTTGTTACAATTGTCTTGGAGGAATGATAGCATCTAAATCAGTGGTTCTCAACCTGGGGTCCCCAGATGTTTTTGGCCTACAACTCCTAGAAATCGCAGCCAGTTTACCAGCTGTTAGGATTTCTGGGAGTTGAAGGCCAAAAACATCTGGGGACCCCAGGTTGAGAACCACTGATCTAAATTATGTGGATGAGAGTGTATCCACTGGTCTCAAATAGCACTGTGGCAAAATCTCAGATCTCAATTGATAAGAGGAACTATTGAAAACGAATAGCTCTACTGGATGATAGATACATTCATCCCAGGGGTGGCCATCTTCTGTAGATCTTGGTGCTACAATCAAAATGCAGCAACATAGAAACTCTGCCCGCCCACTAATCCCATAAAAGAACCACTTCCCTCTTTTAATACAAAGCATATCAGGACGTGTATTTTTTTTCTTAGCATGATTTTGCTTTAGAATAATTTGGGTGCTCCCCGTGCTTTTTAATGCCACTGAAAAGATGCCCTTAAAAACAAAAAAGGACAATTCAATCTCAGCAATGTAGTGGCCAATTAAAGATATAAAATTGGGTGGAGAAGGTGTATGTTGTCCACCTCAAGTTAGCACATTGACTGCAGGATGGGTGTATTGTACCTTTAACCTTGAAGAGCTCATGGAGCAGGATGAACTCAGTCAAACTGCACAAAGTTACTGGCTCTCCTTAAAAACATTCCATATCCAATCCAGCAATCCTACTCTGATTTAGCTCAAGCTCTTCAAATAGTGATCAACTTGAAACCCCGTCCCCCCTGAGATTCACACAAACCAGGCATAGTAGATGCAGCCATCTCAACCACCTGTCTCCAGCTCTTGGCCATCAGAGACAGTCTACCTCTGAGTGTAAAGGTTTCCTTCCAAGCTTCTCCACTCACCCACCTTCCTTTCACTTTCCCTCATTCCTCCCTTTCTCTCTACTAAATAATTCACTGAACACAAACCAAACACTGCCAAAAGAAAGACAAATTTGGAACAGAAAATAGGCTAAAAGAGAAAAATAGTTGTTAAAGGAAACAATCTGATGTGGCTTGGTGAAAAATGAGAGTTCTCCATCAAGAGGACAGCTCCCAGCTCAACCCTTCGCTTCCTGTGCTAGGTGGTAGTGTGGATCGGAGGTGGGGAGGAACGGTTTTCCAGGGTAACAGCATGAGGAGGTCTCTCTTCCCAACTGGAGTGGCTCAGTTCCATGACATGATCTACACCAAGAAAGGAAAGGGGAAAACACACTTTGAAAATGTTGTCTTCAAATTTAGCATATCTGAATCTCAAAGACTTAAAACATGTATCTAATGACTTCAATATAATGGTTTGCTTTCAAGGAGTCTTTAGAACCACCATTTTGTTGAGATATTGAAATTTCAATTGGAAAAATACTCTTCCTTTGACAATGTTTATGGTTTATTGAACTGGAACCATAACACTCAAAACTGCTTTGTAAACAAGTTAAGGGACTTCCAGTGGGGAAGATGGCAGCGGGACAGCCTTATTGAGGAGCTCCTCAGTAAGGAATGGTGTTTGAGAAGTCTGGTTGAGCTTTAGCTCCCCACACCCAGTGGATCGAGTCCGGGTGTGCCACAAAAACCCAACGGCCAGCTCCGAAGGTCCCAAAGACTTCTCCCCTCTCAAGGGAGGGAGGTTGAGAGGACCCGGGCAGTGCAGGGTACTGGACATCTCCACGGGAAGCCGTCCATAAGACTGACAATAACAGTTGAACCTCCCCATTTTAACAGCAAAGAAGACTGAAGAGTTTAAGAATTCTCCGAGAGAGAGAGAGCATGAAGGGACGTAAGTGTCCCTAATTAATACATTCTGTGCCGGAGCTCTGAATGCTAGCCCCTTCCATATATTTAACCGGGGCTGCAAATCAAAAAATCATTAAATTACAACTTAAGGAAAGGAAGAATATACGTGGTAATGAAATTAATTATCTCTCTGTGAAGGCTGATACCGGATGTAATTGGATAAAAATCGACAATCAATGAGAATTAATTTACCTATCCTCAAATACTGCTAATGAATTGATATATATAAACACAAGTTAAGTACAGTAGAGTCTCGCTTGTCCAACATAAATGAGCGAGCAGAAAGTTGGATAATTGAAAATGTTGGATAATAAGAAGGGATTAAGAAAAAGCCTATTAAATGTCACATTACATGATGATTTGCCAGATTAAGCATCAAAACATAATGTTTTACAACAAATCGACACAAAAAGCAGTTCAATACACTGTAACATTATGTAGGAATTACAGTATTTACGAATTTAGGACCAAAACATCGCAATGTATTGAAACAACTGTGGATCCAGGTGGGAGTCAGACTACATTGGATAATACAGAATGTTGGATAAGCGAAGGTTGAATAGGCAAGACTCTTCTGTATATTATTTACCCTTGCACAGTCCTAGGTTGGGAAGAGTAAGGTGGTTGTAATTACACACAACTCCAGTCCAGATTCCTTTACCACATCTCCTACCACATCCAGACCACAAAAAAGGTCAGAAGGAATAAATATGGCATACCACATTAAGAAGCTGATGATTTTTTCATTCATGGATTTTGATATTTATAGGGGTCCTAGAACCAAACTCCAGCAGATACCTAGGTACCACTATATGTTTGCACTGGGTTTTTTTTTTTGTCAAATTGCTTCTGGTGTGAGATAATTGGCCGTCTGCAAGGACGCTGCCCAGGGGATGCCCGGATGTTTTGATGTTTTACCATCCTTGTGGGAGGCTTCTCTTATGTCCCCGTGTGAGGAGCTGGAGCTGATAGAGGGAGCTCATCCACGCTTTCCCCTCATTTGAACCTGCGACCTGTCGGTTTTCAGGCCGGCCGGCACAGGGGTTTAACCCACTGCGTCACTGGGGGCTCCCTGTACTGGGTTACTAAGAAATAAAGTGATAGATCTTTGACCTCTTCCCCCCCAAAAATTACCTGCCATTGGTGGGTCTCCTTGTTCCCCTTCTACTACTGCTTCCTGGTTCTGCTGCTCCTGGGATTCTCCTTCCTCGGTTACAGTTTCTTCTTTCTCTGATTCATTGGGGACCTCCTCCACAGATCCAGCAAAAGATACTTTCTGCCCACCTGGCGGGATCAAGTTTCATAGTGAGAAAACCCCCCCCAAAGAAAAACATTTTGCCACTACAAGAAGCCTTCAGAGATGTCATGGCTGCAGACAGCAGAGGTCAAGCAAGGATATTTAGATTTCCCTGTGAGCCAATATTAGAATTTTAAAAAAGGCCTGGCACAAAAATTCCTTTGTGGGACTACAACTGCTGGCAATCTGGGAATTGTAAACTGTAAAAGTAACTTTGCCAAGCTGTGGGAGGCAACTTCTCTTTTCCATTTAAGAGAAAGGAAGCTACTTAAAACTACTCACGTCTCCAGGTGAATAAAAAAGTGCCAGCCTGAGGTTTTGCTTTGTAAATGCATTTATAAAGATAATAATAATAATAATAATAATAATAATAATAATAATAATAATAATGTGATGTCAAAGGCTTTCATGGCCGGAATCACTGGGTTGTTGTAGGTTTTTTCGGGCTATATGGCCATGGTCTAGAGCCCGAAAAAACCTACAACAACTCAATAATAATAATAATAATAATAATAATAATAATTTATTTATACCCCGCCACCATCTCCCCAAGGGGACTCGGGGCGGCTTACATGAGGCCAAGCCCTGCAATACAGTACAGCAATGCTAATAACATACAACGGCAATAACATAAAAAATAAAATACAAAAAACAATATAAAAAGCACATCAAACAATATAAAATCACAATTAAACACAGAAAATAAATCACAGTGGGCAGGGCCACTAGCGAGGATTAAAAGTTTTAAACACGTTTTCTCAGATAAGGTTTTTTAAACTATAGTTTCCTTTTGAGAAGTGAAAAATAGATTCTGGAAGTTCCATAGGTAGTCCAGTACCCTAGGATAGTGTCCCAAAGCTCATAGAAAAGATTACCACTCTTCCTTCAATATCACAAATATAAAAATGGCAGAGTTTAAGTATTGCTGGAGCATTCCCACTTTGCATTATGATTGCCCAAATCAACTGTGCAAGTTCTTTAACAAAGAAATTCCTTTCTATTTCCTAGACCACTGTTTCTTATACTCTAGGCCAAATATGGGCCCCCATAGCTCAATGTTGGAGTCACAAAAAATTGACAACAATAAAAGGTTATTAGCTTTTTTTACACATTTACATGAATCTCTTGGCAACTGCGTGCAGTGTTTACAATGGATGCTGCAGAAAATGTTTCAGCTGTACTTCATAAAAGTGAAAATCAGTCTGTTTAGCAAGCCTCGCAAATGCTGAATTGTTATCAGTAAATCTTTTATTTTTATACCTACTTTATATACCCATATACCCGTTGTTGAGTAAAAAAATATTGGTGGAAAGAGTCAAGAGTGTAAAAGTTTAAGAGTCCTATCCTAGAAGAAAAGTTATTGAATTCCATAAGCTTGTGACTATTGTGAGTGTTTGGCAAAGTTTAACTTCAAAGCAGCTCCGTAATACACAGAATTGGTTGTGCCCTTTAAAAGCTGAAATCATGAGAAATTACCATGTAATTTTTAACATTCGCATTCTGTATTAAGTTGTTATTATCAGCATATGATTCCCATTTTGATTATCCTTCTCATAGATTGTCCCATGATATAAAAACTGTCAGGAACGAGTGACAGAATGGCCTACAACTTTTTTGGAAGGCACTTGCTGTTTGTTATTATATAGAGTAAATCTGGGCAGAGATTTGAAAAGATGAAGCCAAAACGGGAAGTCATAGCAGCTCCGCTCTCTCATATACACACATACTCTCTCATACACACACACATAGCAGGACTTCACATGAAAACACAATCCAGGCAGTCGTGATTCACACACATAGATGCAGAGCTCCCGTCTCCACCTGCTGTCTTCTGCAGCAGCCAGCAACCTGCTTGGTGATAGCCACTTTGCTTTTGAAAATCTGTCTCTATCTAGCAAGCGTTGAGTCTGGCAAGGAGCAGCTGCTCAATCACTTGTCCTCAATCAAATGTCAGAATAACATGGAAATGTTTGAAACTTGATATTTGTATGGCAGATTCTCACAATCCAAAGGGAGGCCCACCTACAATAACACTGACTTTGTGAAAATACAACCAGCCTTCCATATTTACGGGTTGAATTTTTATGGATTTGATTATCCGCAGGTTTGAATTAATGTTTGTTCTCCCGTCTAAAGATGATAACGGCTGGTGAAGATTTGTAAACTAATTGAGATGGACAAATCGATTAGGTTGATAGAGGAGAAATATTTGCCCAACTTGAGATTCATTTATGAATTAATATGGCATAATAATGATTGAGTGGGGTATCCATCAATTATGGGATTTATGAGCAAGTAGTATGTTATTAAATGCAGATGTGTGGTTATAGAACATTAATTAAAGACAGTAGATAAGTTAGAATTTTAAAAAACCATCAGAGAGTAAGAAGTCTGTAGTTATGTTTTTGTGTGCATATCTGTTTTATTTTGCACTAGCTGTCCCCTGCCACGCATTACTGTGGCCCAGTCTGTTTATATGTGTTTTCTGTGTGTATATATGAGTATATGTGTGTATATTTGTGTATAAGTATATATGTGTGTGTTTGTGTATATATGTGGTTTTGCCCATGCGTTGTAATGTAATTTTTATTTTTTGGCTTTTAAGTCTCTTCTGCTGTGTTTTTCAGTGATTTTATGAGTGATGGTTACTTGTTGGCCTGATAGGTGTATTGTGTCCAAATTTGGTGTCAATTCATCCAGTGGTTTTTGAATTATGTTAATCCCACAAACAAACATTACATTTTATTGTCGAAGGCTTTCATGGCCGGAATCACTGGGTTGTTGTAGGTTTTTTGGGGCTATATGGCCATGTTCTAGAGGCATTCTCTCCTGACGTTTAGCCTGCATCTATGGCAGGCATCCTCAGAAGTAGAGATGCAGGCAAAACGTCAGAAGGGAATGCCTCTAGAACATGGCCATATAGTCCAAAAAAACCTACAACAACCCAAGCATTACATTTTTATTTATATAGATTTATGTATTTTTGTTTTATTTGTAGTATTTTGCAGTACCACAAATGTATTACTTAGAAGGTATATGAGTGGTTTTTGTTTTTTGTTTTGTTTTTATATATAGTTTTTATATGTAGCTTTATGTGTGTGTATGTGTATAGTTTGTTCATTCTATTCCTGTCTCATTATGATTTTATTATCATCATATTAGGAGCCCCCGGTGGCGCAATGTGTTAAACCCTTGTGCTGGCAGGACTGCTGACCAAAAGGTCGGCAGTTCGAATCTGGGGAGCAGAGTGAGCTCCCGCCTGTCAGCTCCAGCTTCTCATGCAGGGACATGAGAGAAGCCTCCTACAGGATGGTAAAACATTTAGGTGTCCCCTGGGCAACGTCCTTGCAGACGGCCAATTCTCTCACTCCAGAGCGACTTGCAGTTTCTCAAGTTGTTCGTGACATGAAAAAAATGGTTGTATTATGATTCTTTTCCTTTCAGTTAAATTTATTTTTAAAATGTTTGTTCTCTCTAGGAATCTGTAGGTCCTCTAGGTGGACTCTATGGTCAACCTCAGCCAGAAGTCTATATAAATAAAAATGTAATGTTTGTTTGTGGGATTAACAGAACTCAAAAACCACTGGATGAATTGACATGAAATTTGGACACAATACACCTATCAGGCCAACGAGTGACCATCACTCGTAAAAACACTGAAAAACACAGCAGAAGAGACTTAAAAAGCCAAAACACTAAAATTACATCACGATGTATGTGCAAAACCACATGTTCACAAATAGATACACATATATACACAGAAAATACATATACACAGACTGGGCCACAGCAACGCGTGGCTGGGGGTGGCTAGTTAATCATAAAGTCTGACTGGAGGCTCTACAGCAGTGTTTCTCAACCTGGAGGTCAAGACCCCTGGGGGGGGGGTTGCGAGGGGTTGCCAGAGGGGTCACCAAAGACCATTAGCAAACACAGTATTTTCTGCTGGTCATGGGGGTTCTGTGTGGGAGGTTTGGCCCAATTCTATCGTTGGTGGGGTTCAGAATGCTCTGTGATTGTAGGTGAACTATAAATCCCAGCAACTACAGCTCTCAAATGACAAGGTCTATTTTCCCTAAATTCCACCAGTGTGAACATTTGGGCATATTGAGTATTTGTGCCAGGTTTGGTCCAGAGCTATCACTGTTGAAGTCCATAGTGCTCTCTAGATGTAGGTGTACTATAACTCCAAAACTCAATGTCAATGCCCACCAAACCCTTCCAGTATTTTCTGTTGGTCATGGGAGTTCTGTGTGCCAAGTTTGGTTCAATTCCATTGTTGGTGGAGTTCAGAATGCTCTTTGATTGTAGTGAACTATAAATCCCAGCAACTACAACTCCCAAATGGCAAACTCTATTTTCCAACCCCACCAGTATTCAAATTTGGGTGTATTGGGTATTTGTGCCAAATTTCATCCAGTGAATGAAAGTACATCCTGCATATCAGATATTTACATTATGATTCATAAGAGTAGTAACATTACAGTTATGAAGTAGCAACGAAAATAATTTTATGGTTGGGGGTCACCACAACATGAGGCACTGTATTAAGGGGTCGCGGCATTAGGAAGGTTGAGAACCACTGCTCTACAGACTTGTAGAGAGAATGATTTTCTGGAAATCTAGGTCTTTCTGTATGTTTTTGTGGTCAATGGTAAAGGGAAGAGGACTAGAGAGTCACATAGAGATCCTAAAATGATGTTTTCTCAGGGTTTTTTAAAAAAATTCTGACACCTGGGGATCCTAGGTCCTTCAACCCATTTAAAGTGAAGGACCTACTGGAGCAGTGGTTCTCAACCTTCCTAATGCCGTGACCCCTTAGTAGAGGTCCTCATGTTGTGGTGACCCCCAACCATAATGTTATTTTTATTGCTACTTCATAACTGTAATTTTGATACTGTTATGAATTGTAATGTAAATATCTGATATGCAGGATGTATTTTCAGTCACTGGACCAAATTTGGCACAAATACCCGATACGCCCAAA